AAATTCTTGATGATAAAGAATGAATTCTAACATTTAAAGGGCAAAGTAAAGAGACAGATGGCACTCTTTGTCAGACAAACCACGCTGATGGGTGCTGGGAGCTGAGAATGTTGTCACTTCTTCTGGACAATGAAACAAAACCACAGAAACCAACAGGAGCAGCAGCCAACTCTTACCACCCTATTTGGGCATTATGGGCCTATAAATACACACGTAGCATCTAAACAAGGGAAGGTTTTTCATTCCCTTGTAGGAAAATGATTAGCTGTAGCACACTAATAACACACTCGGAAATACCGAGGGACAAGCATCAGTTTTCATGTCCTCATGCCAGAATGTGACTCGGCGCTGCGCTGGTACAGCTGCCATAAATGTGCAACAAGCATGAGCAGCACACGCTGACACACAGCAATCTTTTGCAGCACTGAAAGCTCCGTTTATGTAACAAAGAGAGGAACACAGAGTCACAGCAAAAGCATTTTACGAGAAAAACCCCTTGATTTCATCCAATCTAAAGATTTCATCTAATTTAAAGAGAGAAAGAAGCAATTTGGGCCAATGTGATACAGCGTCACGGCTCTGTTTGTCCACAAAAGCTTGTAGCACTGCCTATCATTCGGCTGCACAAGGATATTATCTAGCAGTTTCATAATTGAGATATTATTTACTACTGGAAATGATGTAAAGTAGGACAAGGACTACATTGAGCATTATCAAACGGGGCCTCAGAGTTATGATTTCTAGGCACAGACAGGAATCGAGTAGCAAGGCAAAGTTTAAGAAAACAGTGATACTCTTGTGTATTAACAGAAGGCCTCTTCTGCTCTGTAGTGCACTACCCAAGACCATTTCCTTCCTTAGTATTAAAATTCTAATCAGCCTTCATTTCACCTAGAGAAATGTATGACCCAGGCAAAGCTCTGTGTATAGCTTTGGAAGCAAACAGCCCTGGAATGTGAGACCTGGTGTACTACAAACCCTTAATTCAACTGTCATCATCTGTACGTGCACAAATGGGGAATATTAAAGACACGCCAAGTGCCACTCTGTGTAACACAGTGCAAATGCCTTTATTTCTAAAGTAGCTGTATTAATTACAGATTTGATGTGAAGGTGCTAGATATCAGCACTGAGGAAACTGGGCCCACTGCAGAGAAAAGGAGAATGGGCAGCTGTGAGAGGTACAGGCACTGCACAAAACCTTCATACATTTGTGCTTTCTGGAGCTCTGCAAGGAAAACCAGGGAAATGCCAGCAGGGCAGAACTAAACGTGAAATGGTGAAGTCTTCAAACAAAATATCAAACACCAAGCTCAGGCTTCAAGGCACAGCAGTGAATCTGGATTGCTACAGGTCTGAAACACTCACCTGGCCTTCATGCCTCTCCATAGCTTTAGCATATTTATGTCATAACAAAGGGGTGGGCCAGTGAAACCTGTTTGCAGCAATATGGTGCTGCACCACTTCCACCTCGCTGTGAAATCCGCTTCTTCTGTTCGGTGTAACAACACTCAACCCCCCTCCCTTCGGTGCTTTTCCATTCAGAGCAGTACAGGATGCTCCATCCCATCTTCTGCCTCCCTCCTGCAGTCCTCACCTCTACTGGTGCTATGTGCCAATGCCAGACACAAAGCCAGCTCTCTCCTCTTACATTTTTAAATCACCCCATCCTTTCTGGAGCTACCTGTTGGGCACAGCACTTCTCCTGCCTGCCTTCCCAGGACTCAGGTGCCCCTAGATAAGGAACAACAAACCAACAAGAAATAACCCCCTGCCCAACTGTGATGTGCCTCCACCTCAGTGGGACAGAGGAAGCCAAGAAGAGTGGACAAGAAAGAGAAACTGACATGCTTTATGCATGGGAACCAAGAATCAATCAGGACATTGCAGTATTAAAGTTGTTTACTGGCGGAATTAGGATTGCCCTCATACACAAATCACCTGTAAAGGCACGGAACCCTGGTGCTGCTATTTGCAGTGCCTACATATGGATGCAGAGCAGACACACGTGGCTACAATGAAACACCCACGGCAGCAAGCCTGCCGCTCCAGAGACTGCAAACCAGTGCCTGGGCTGAGCTCTGCACGCTGTAATCTAGCAGAAAAGCACTGAGAAGCATATCAAGCCAGGCTTGTCAGCCTTAATATTTTCTGTGATTTGAACAGGGCCAGAGAATATGATAAGCATCTTTACAAATCCGGTTGGCTTTCCTTCAGATCCAGAAGCCTGTCTGTAAGCTGCAGAAGAACAGGAGCCCACATGAAATCACATTTTGAACAGAGCCAGTCCTGCTCCTCAGCCTCTGTGCTGAACCCTGTCTGCAGCAACACCCCCGTCAGCACGTGCAATTGCTCTTACAAGTACTGTTGCAGAGCTACACTCAGCTTCAGAAATACCTCTCTTACTTAAAAATCTTCTGTATTTCTTTTTAAGGTTATGTTGATGAAGTGTTTCCAATGAGTTAAAAATTGTGTCAGCTTTCCTTGCAGATTTCTTTTTTAATCAGGTTGGTAAGCGTCCCCCATTCATCAGTGCAAATCAGCTTCATTTGCTTAGGAGCTCAAACTCGGAGCACACAATGGTATTCTCAAACCAAATACATCACGTTAAAGTGAGTGCAGTTGTGGTTCATCTCAATCATATGGTCAGATTGCAAATCTAAGCTGAGGAAATAGAGGTTGTGACACCCCACAGCTGGGACAGCCTTTGGACAGCAGTGTTACATCACGGCCACGGGGCCAGCCGGGCGCTCGCCTGTGTGAAAGTGACAGATCCCATGAGAACATGAAAAAAAAGGAAAGGTTTTCGTGTCCTCGCCAAACCCCTTCCTTCACTTAATGCTACCGCAGGCTGAGTTTCTTCAGAGCAAATGATTGCAGGAGGTTGCTGCCAAGCAATTGCTACTGATTTATTTTCATCCGATCACACAGCGCAGGAATTAAGCACTGTGCAAAACACATGGGCGACTTAATTACAAAAGGGCTTCTCCTGCCATACAAACCAATGCCAAGCGACTGAGGCTGCTCACAGAGTGCCCTGACACGGCCCCAGCTCCGCATCACGGGACAGAGGGGCTCCAATGCCACACAGACACAGTGCCAGCAAACACAACACCCACACCTACCGCAAACGGAGCTGCTTCTCCTTCTGTCTTTTAAGCAGGGAGGATGAATGAGAGCAGTGCAGCTCGAGGCTTGGGCAGCGCTCTGTGGATGCCAGAGCCACGCTGTGTGAACACGTGTGTCCATCAGACAACTGTCAGGAGTGGTGAATTCTAAATTTGAGCCAGTGATAGGGGAAAAAAAAAAGGTGGGGTGTGAAACCACACCTGGAAAATGCTGCAGGCATTAGAAGTAAGTACAGCGTGAGCACTGCTGTGCTGGACGGCCTGCAGCCCAGGAGCTGGTGCAGCATGCTACCTTATAACGTTTCTTTGGAAATATTCCACTTCCCTCAACATTCAGTCACTGTTAAGTACCTTGAACTAATTAATCTTTCTTTATAGGGGAAAACACACATTTGAAACCATGGGTTCATTCATTTATCCCCATCTGGAGTACTGTGTCCAGGTGTGGAGCCCTCAGTACAAGAAAGACATTGAGATTTTGGAAAGGGTCCAGAGGAGGGCGACTAAGATGATCAGGGGGCTGGAGCACCTCCCCTATGAGGACAGGCTGAGGGAGTTGGGCTTGTTCAGCCTGGAGAAGAGAAGGCTGCGGGGTGACCTCATGGCAGCCTATCAATACCTGAAGGGAACCTACACCCAGGAGGGGAGTAAACTCTTCAAAAGGGCTGATAACAGCAGGACTAGGGGAAATGGTTTTAAGTTGAAGGAGGGAAGATTTAGGTTGGATGTTAGGGGGAAGTTCTTTACTAGGAGAGTGGTTAGGCCCTGGAACGGGCTGCCCAGGGAGGTTGTGGATGCCCCGTCCTTGGACGTGTTCAAGGCCAGGTTGGACGGGGTCCTGGGCAACCTGATCTAAATGTGTATGTTTGGTGGCCCTGCTAGGCAGGGGGGTTGGAACTACATGATCCTTGGGGTCCCTTCCAACCCGGGTGATTCTGTGATTCTGTGATTTATCTAAGCTAAAATGCTTAAACCTCTTTAATTGTTGAGTCACCATCCCTGGATGTGTTTAGAAACCATCTGGATGTGGTGCTCAGGACATGACTTAGAGGACGGTTGTTAAAACCAGGATAGTATGGTCAGGTTGTGGTTGGACTTGATCTTCGAGGTCTTTTCCAACATGAGCAACTCTGTGATTCTGTGAATGTATTTATTTATTTTTATTTTACTGTAAGAAACAGGTAAATCAGTGCTTTACTTCATGCCTCTCCTTTAGATAAGTTACATCAGCACACTGAAATGCTGCCCACGCTCTAAGCAGCCACACATCCCTCCCTCGTGTGGCTGAAGCTCACTCACCTTAACTCTCTCCATCACTTTTCCCACTGCACAAAGCAGCAGACACATCCTGGCTAACCCAAGTGATGGAGCACAACACAGCGTGCCAAAACCACCGCCCTGTGCAGTAACAACAGAGCTGACATCTGTCACAGCATCTCCTTACATGTCAGATACTTCATACTGGAAATGCTGTGCTTCAGCTCTCACCCAGCATGGTGAGCTGTCAGGGAGAAGGAAGCTGTGTGTTTCTATCTTCACATCAATACACAGCTTTTGCTCAGGAACCTCAATTCACCTCAGAAATGTAAATACTGCCATTGACACCACAGTGATTCACTCACTTTATCATCAGTTCAGCTGTGTCAGTCGGCAGTATCACGCAGCAATTCAATGCCAAGCATGCAAACAATTGTGTTCTCAACTTTCTGATACAACTCTCTGTATTGTAAATACTAAAAAAGTGCTAAAAAGCGTGATATGGTGGAAGGGAAGATAAATAAAACCTATTTCTCTTTATCAGAATGGATGAAATTTGCTTCTCAACCACTTAGGAGCAATTGTTTCACCTTTTTGTTTTGTTTTCCTTTCCAGTGGTTCCATCTTCAAGTGACGTCCTTCTGGGCTGCACCTCATGTGAGTACAGGCTTTATTGTATGTTTTCTATCAATGTACAACAGTGAAAATATTGACCAGCATTGCGATTTCTATTTTCTATTTACTTCTGTGAAGTTGTACTGTCAAATTCACTCAGTCCCCCTGGAGGGGTTAGTGAAGGCAGCTGCTGTTCACTCCCAGCTGCACCTCCTCCTCAGAGCTCAAACAGGTCGCCCATGTAGGCTCATACAGAGATTCCTCCAATGTCCTACAGCTATAGCTTTGGGAAATTTAGACTTGGGGGATGCAGCCGATGATCCTCAGGCACTCAAGGACTCAAGAGAAGTCCCGAAATCCAGAGAAACTGCAGAAATAGACTGGAGGAACATCAGCACCTGGAGGAGTGAATTGGCATCACCTCTGCGAGCTGCTTGTCCTCCCTGCCAAGAAGGAATGGAGGCAGTCATGCTCTCCTCCCCACCTCCACCAGCAGGCCACCACAGCAGCTAACACTGGAAGCCCACAGCTCACATGAAAGGCTTTTACGCGCTGACAAAGGCTGCCCAGAGCGCGCTGCTCTCGCTGCTTAATGAGCCAAGGACCAGAGCCAGGAATCATTTAATGCTAACACCGGCCCTGCCAGCACCGAGTGCAGCTCTGCAGCTCAGCAAACCACTCTGACTTCTTCATTTTCTCCTCTGCACAACGAACACAACACTTCTGCACCCAACAACCATCTCCCCACTGTTTAAATCCCGATTTGATGCTCAAGCCGTGAACGCACCGCCTCCCTTCCTTTCACTTTGATAAAGTATAGTCAGTATCAACAGGCAACACTTTCTAAAAACTTATTTCCAGCTATTGTGAAACAGGAGCTGAATGTTTATGGAGTAGTTACTTTTTATGTCAGTTTACCATAGGGCCTCTTTAGCCACAAGCTTACAGCCGGAGGCCCCGAGGCATTTTTGGGAATGGAAACTTTTGGAGCTCAGCTCTTTACAAATTTCCAGCGCACAGCATGTTTTTCATTAGTCTACATGGTGTTATAATAAATGATGCACTTCCTCTTTCATTTTATGATTTTTTTAAACATGCAACAATTTTTTTCTGTCTGTTTTCTATTACTTTAAAATACTCAACCACAATCACCATCCAGTCTGCTCCGTGTATAACGACAGAAGGGATATATTGAGTAAGATATCAGCTAGAACAAGACAAGCTTCTCATTCAAATTCGTCACTGAAGTCCAATCATAAATGCATTCAGTGCATTTTTAGGGGCCATTGTTACAAAAAACAGTAGTAAGTCTGGCATTCCAGAAGCTGAAGTTGGCCCAGAAGAGGCTCCTTACCTGCAGGACACAGCTGAAGCAGTGTGAGCTCGCTAGCCAGATGCTAAAGCCATGAAAAACTCCCCATGCCTTTGCATAGCAGAATTACACAAAGGGCTTTTTTTGCATAAGGAGATATAAAGCTGACGCTCAGCTCCCTTCCCTGAGTGCAGCTCTGAGAGGTGTTAGCTCTCATTTTCCTGGGGCAAAGCACCAGGATTCCTCAACTGCTGCGGTGGGTCCTTTACATTAGAGTAGAATTAGACCCCAGGAAGGACACACGTAATTGTCTCCTTCAAAAGTTTATAAACAAGAGATAACAGCATCCCAAACAAAAACGTTGTAAAGTTATCACTCTAAACAAAACAGAGTATAAAGGGAAAGTGTCTAAAAAAAAAAAAGAGAGAAAAGAAAGGAGCCAAGCACACAGTGTTTGAGAATGTAACTGCATCCTAACAGCACGACTACCCACATTTAAAGCAAGCCAAAGCTCTTTGCACTGCCTTGTTCCTCTCAGCCCAAACGAGTTTGGTGAGCTCTGCAGGCAGTCAAGGAAAATCAAAACCAAATGTCTGAAACATCTCAGAGCTGATGTCTGAGAACGCCGCGTTATCAAGAAATGCTCATCTCCCTTTGGGCTCCATTGCACTCACTGCTGGTAGTAACTGAGCTCAGCACATCTGTAGCAGACAAAGCATAGGGACAAGAACGTCCATACATTTGTTCAGTAATACTGGGGAACGTCTGTAGGTGAAAGCCTGAGAACTGAGAAAAAGGAGGAACCAATGCTAAAGAGTCCCCAGCAAACAAAGGCCATGGGGTGATGGGCTACAGGTTGGAGTGGCTGATCTCAGTCACCTTTTCCAACCTCAGTGATCCCAAGATCAGCCTTTAATGCTGAGGAGATGGAACCTTCCAACCTCTTTTTAACACAGAAAAGAAAGTGAAGGCCATCTGTTGCCACTGCCAGCAAGGAAGGAGGGCTGAATTAAGCAGATCCAGCTAATGACAGGACCCAGGAAGGAGAAAGGATTATCATTACACAGCATTCAGTTGTCTGACCCACTTCACCAGATTTAAAACAAAACAAAACGAAAATAAGAAGAAATACAAGTTTCATAATCACACCTCAAAATAACAACTAATTAGACACCGCAATTGCTTAATGGCAGAAAAGTACTTACTAATGGGAGCAGCAGCTCTCGACTACGTGCCCAAATCTATATTTGAATACTTTTCAGATGATATATGGTTGATACATTTATTTTTAGAGAGCCTTTTAATGTTCACCCTCTATAAATAATTCTCAATAAGAACACACTCCCAGGGCTGGCAGCACCAGGAAAACCAGGCTATGCCAACAAGAAGGCATTCCAGTCCAACTTCATCACGTCTAGCACACCAAGTTTCATTTACAAATCTTTGATTTCCAGATGAATGGCAGTTCAAAGTACATTTTAAAGACAGCTACTTTCTGCCTATGTATGTAGAGATTGCTAGAGATTAAGTCACTTTAATTACAGACTTCAGCAGGTGTAACTTTGTGATACTCTTTGAATTTGGTTTAAACTGATGAATGTTCTGTGATTAGCCAGCAGTGAGCTTTAGAAACATCAGAGATCTCCCAAACGCAGCAAAGGAAATCTACTGATGGTCTGAAGTTTGGTGCTGCTCTGTCATTTACTTAACATACACATAACTGAGTTGGAAGCAGCACTCTGAAATGCTCAGCAATAAAGAAAAGCCCTGGAAGCAGCTGTGGGAGGGAAGCCCAGACCACGGCAGACCAACACATTGCAGTGGGCTTTTGTCCTGGTTTTTATATATGTATTAAACGACCCAAAGTTAACTTGCAGCATTAAGGCCTACAGCATTTAAATTAGAAGCATTTGGGATTCAAATGGTTTAAACATGAAAATGGAATTATTTCTAACTCATTCTTCTCTCGGTGTCATGTTTTAGGGTGATAGCAATATGAATCCCCTGTTTCTCCATTACTCAAACGTTCTTTCTTGGGGAAAAAAAAAAATAATAAAGTAATCCAAAGATTAATTCTAAGCTATCAGATAAAAATACCATAGTATTTACCTTAACATTTTTTGAATATATACTGAATTCAAGTGAAGTGATTTCAAAAGTTACCCTGGATGCTTTTCTCATTTGAAGACATTAAATATTGGCTCTCACAGATTTCCATTATACATTGTCTGACAATATTTGCTGCTGCTGATTACAGGAGCTGACTTAATTCTTACAGTGCTAATGACAAAGTCTTGTACAAGTTGAGCACAGACGACATTTCAGAGTTTCATACTTAGTGCAGATGTAATTGCACATAAGTGTAAAAATTGGTAGTGCTAAATGCATAAATTCCCTTTTGATCCTTTTTGAATAATTAAATCAACAGCTACCTTCAAACCTGCCTCCAAATCCTGCTTTAAATCATCATTTACTGCTGACACCTGAAGACAAGGGAAGGGCACAGACACACTTATATAATCCAGAGCACAGGGAACTTGCGAATCCCAGACTGAAGTCCCAAAGCCACAACAAAGCCATGGACAGAGCAGTGGGAGAAACCAGCCATGGAAGCAGACAGCAATGCAGCAGCTTAGGGTCAACACATGGCATGTGGTGCAACAGCTCAAAGCAAGGCTTATAGTGGATGATTTGCAGGAGGCACAATTCTGGGAGCTCCAACTTATCCTAAAGAAACAACTGCACGGTTCTGAAAAAAATCACATTTTCATGTTTTTCTCTTCATCAACTGCACCGATGCTGCAGGAGAGAGAAAAATGACAAACAGAAAGGGAGAGAAAGAAGCCGTGTTCTGTTGCTTCAGCAGAAAGGTGCAAATCTGGAGTGACTGCAAAGGTTTGAGTGGCCAACAGGTGCTGTGTGACTGCGTGCTCCAGCTGGCTGCACGGCTCCTCGTCCAGAGATTGCAGCAGGGCTCGCCCTTGGCCAGAAAGGGAAAACCACCACAGGTAGGGAAGGTGCTTTCAGTACCCACATCAGGCACAGCTTAATAAGAGAACCTCACAGGGCTGCTCCACCTCCAGGTTTACTCGCTGGCGGCTGGTTGTGTAACTAACAACAGAAAGGAGCCATTTCCAGCTCATTTTGCCTTGTGAGCCCCAGGCTGCCAGGAGGAAGCATGGAGCTCAGGAGCAGCTTTCCTGCCTGCCTTGCTGGGTGTTCCCCTTTGAAGAGGCACCCAAGCAGCAGCTCGCTCACCTGTTCTGTAGGGTCGTCTTTAAAGCAATGCTTTCCACCCTTTGAGGTTAACTACAGAGAAATGCAATTAATTAAGCAAGTCAGTGGCATATAACTCCAGCCTTTTATTTCTACTGGGTGTCAGAGCAGGACACAAGTCCTGTCTGTAGCAGGATTTTGGAGGCTCCACAGAAAATGCTGTACTTTACAGATCGATCTGATAGGGTTTGTGCAACACCAGCCCAACCTGTGTCAGAGGAAACCAAATAGCTATCAATTAAAGGAACCCAACAGCCTGTGCTGCTACTGTGAGGTATGGAGCTGGTGCATTAAACCTTTGTTCTCATTTTTATGCTCAAATGAAGAGCAAGCCTGGAAGTGAATTTTAAGTGGACTGCCTCCAAATTGGACAGGCTAACAAATCTTCATTTGTTAACAAACAAATGGACCCCCATTGGCCATGGGGGCTGCAATGCTGCATAAGAAATGCATCGAAAGCTGCTCCTAGCAGTAGTATCCAAACACCACTGCTTCCCAAATATTTTCCTGGGCTACAATGTTTGCAAACCGAGCCCTCTCTTCTTGCAAAGCTGCCAGGAACATTCTCAACAGTTTCAGTTCTTAATAACAACAACAACAAAAAAAAAACAAACAAAAAACATCTCCACATTATTAAAAAAAATTATGGAGAAAAGATGGCAAGGAATCTATCCTAATATAATGGCTCTCCCATTTCCACATAGCGTGTGTGCTGTTTGTTTTCATTCTTGAAGACCAGGATTTTATAGCTGTAATTACCTCATTTTCTCATGGTACAAACAGTCCAATTTTTATTCATTTTGATAGCATTCTTCCCCTGGTTTTTCTTCCCCTTAAAGCTTGCTATTAACATCAAATACAATAGATTCATACAATCAAAATACCTGTTGGGGGAGAGATTCATTAATAAATTGTATTTTCAAATCAGCTTAGAGCAGAAGTGTCAATATGAAAATGAATAACTAGAGGGAATGATGCTTTAACTGACTCCTGAAGTTTGAAGCATATTATGGTGGTTCTATTTTTAAATTAATATCATTTAAAAGATAGTTTCTCAACCGTAGCCTTATCTTAAAAGATTTCTGTGCAGTAATTTTCCCCATAATCTGGAGGGCGTTGAGAGGTAATGTTCAATTGAGCAGACCCTGGAAGCAAGGAGGTGCTTCATGGTCAGCTGGCTGTGAAATCCTGTAGCTGCCTGCAGCCCTGCATGCAACCCTGCTGCTTTAGGTCTAAGATTTTTTTAAGTGTTTAAGGACAAGGAGCTGCACCCCACTATTTATCAAGGACAGCCCTGGCCTGTACTTCTGCCCTGCTTAAACAGCACCTGTGCTATTTCCCCGTGCTGGGAAGCAAGCCGTAGCACCTGCAGGTGCAAGACCTGTGGTCTCTGCAGAGCAAGCAGAGGAGGAAAGCTGTTCCCCTCCACAACCACCTGAGGTCTGCAGAAGGAAGAACTTCTGAGAGTCCGGTGGCAGGGAAAGGTCAGGAGCAGGGTATTATATTCTGCATGTTTGGATTAGCACACAATGGTTAACTAAACTGACTTAATATCTAATGACGTTTTCAAACAATAGCTCATACAATTATCCAAAGTATGCAGAAATAAAACACGCAGACAAACACCACTGTGGTCCCTCAGACATCCACACAGCAGTGCGTGTCAGCGCTCTGGCCGTGCAGATTAGAGGTCAGGTATAAATGAGCCTGAGTGAAGAATCCCCTGAACAGAAAAGGCAGAAGCACTCCTTCCTGCTTTGCCCGTTATTTTCAGTCCCACTTGTATGCAACGATCAGTTTCTGTCCCATGCTTTCAGCATACAACCATGTTTTTGGAAACAAAATCACTGTGCTTAAAAAAAATAAAAAGCATGTTACTGAAATGAATCACAAGCTCAGAACGCTCCCAGAAAGCCGCTGGGAATTAGCTGGGTTAGCAGGTCTGAGGGATTGTCACTAAAACCACATCAGCATCCTGAGTCACGTCAGCTGGGGAAGGCGCTGTGATGGGGCAGATGCTGTCACTGCTCTCCAACTGCTCTGCACTGCTCCCTTACCAATGGAGCCGGCGTTAGGAATATTAAAGTCAGGCACCTGTCTCAGCAGCTTGAGCTGCTTGTGAGGCACCCTCGAAAGTACAGCTTTGTGGTCCTTTTTGAAACCAAGCTGCTGATGCTACAAGCAGGGCTGCCAGCTTCACCACAGCCCTGGGAGAAGCTGCTTGAAATGCCCAAAGCAGGCACTGCTGGTGAAGGATTAGTGTGCAACCACTGTGCTGCAGCTCAGGTACAACTGTGCTCTCCTTTAAGGGGCAAAAAGCTGTGCTCATACAAAAGACATCTCTAAAGCAACTCGTCTGATATTTGCTGGGAAGTCTTGCTTGCTTCAGCTGATTTGCAGATACAATTTATTTATTTTAGGTAACTACCAAAGCATTTTTGGGCACGTTAAGCCAAATATGAACTTGCTGAATTCTCATACTAAGGTAAAACACAGATAACACAAGTCCTGAGTAGATTCCCTTCACATTACTTCTCAGTTCAACACTTACACTGAAAAACAGGAAAAAGCATCCATCGGTGACTGCAAGCATCTGTGCAATGGAACAAGGAGATAACTGCCCACATTGCAGCCTCTCTATCAAATACCAGTGAGGGCTGTTTGCAATCCTCCGAAGGCACCGTGATGTCAGCTTGGACTCAAAGCACGCTGAGGTTCTGACAACCCTTCCAGTTAAAACTATTCCTTATAGACAACTTCCACATGGGTAGCAAAGGCCCACACACACACACACTAAATTCATTGATGCCACAGTGATGCTTGAACAAAACCACTTCAGCTCACACAAGCAATACCCTACCAACCACAGTCCTCAATAACTACTTCTACGTTACCCTTGTGAATTGCTTAATCCCTCCTGAGCAGTGGCTCTACCTAAAGCTGAATTACTGTTCCAAGCACTCCTAAAAGATCAACCTTGGTGAACAAAACTGAACTTGTTTGTCTTTGTCTCACTTAGCTGCCACAAATAGAAAATCAGAGCAGAACTGCCCGTCAGTTTGTAGCAGCTGTCAGAGATGACAGCACTTCAAACACGCCGTGCCTCCACTTTGCAGCATCGCAGAGCAGGGTGCAGACATACATGTGTATTATGTACACATTCATCATTCATTTTAGGCGTCAGCTCCTTTTGGGTTAACAAGGAAAAGCATCCACTACGCTTCTCTGCTGTGGGCAGGGAGAAAAATATAAATTAATTCTTCATTACAGTTTTACAAAGCAAATTATTTAGCGGCAATTTGTATTCAAGCTAAGCACACAGAATCATGATATTACACTCTTTTTATTCAAATGAAAGGAATTTACATTCACCTACAATCTCGTTAAAGTAAGAATAATGAAGCATTTTCCTTTTTTCTTTTCTTTTTTTTTTAATGAAAGCGTTCTTTCTGAATGCTTAAAATAATTCTGAGGTTTATATTTTAGTATTTTTTCAAATACAGGTTGGCTCTGCTTCAGGTCTAACGCAGCTTTCTGTTTAAACTCCCAAGCCAGCTGGATGCTGCAGGCTTCTGCTGCACAGCAGTGCTTTGCAGAGCTGGGCAGGGTTTGGCTCCTGACAAATACAGCTGGGAGAGCTGTAAGGGAAGTTCAGCTCACTGTGCCCAGGGTTTGCTCTGCTGTTGGCACGCACGGCCTTGCAGAATAGCTACTTCCCTGGTAAAAAGTCCTTTCTGGTACAAAAGCAGCTCCTCCAATGGATGCAGACACTATTTGTCGCTGGTTATGCAACTCTAGCAAGGGCTGGGCTATTCCTGAACCACAGTCACATCCTTCCAGTTTGTACTTCAGAAACAACAACAAAACCCTTGCGTGGTGACACGGTGGCACACAGAACAGACCTTCTGGCAGCACTGGGCCCTGTGCCCAGCACCCCTGCACCCCTCTGCCACCACTGCACCGCGATATCACTGCGGTTTTGCAACCACCCTCTCCGCCAATAGCAGCGTGCAGCTGAAGCTTAAAGGATTATGTGTATGTATGTGCAGGGGAAGTCACATGTAAATACAGACTCGGTGCCATGAACAGGGCTGGTGCAGCCTGCTGCTAAGCCTCCCTATTGTTTACTCTTGCTAGAGAAATGAGAGGTCGGAGTTTCTGCTGAGCTTACCTTGGAAGGGTTCTGACTTGATGGACAAAATGTTTCTGCCAGCCTTCAAGGAACAGCAGGGCAGTGCCTACCAGGTGAGATTCTTAATAGTTCGCCTTCTGGAATGCTTTTGCTTTCTTTCTGAGTCTGGGAACAATTCATGTTAATGCGTACGAGCTTTGGGTTGGTGCAAATGAACGGCTCCACCGTTACAAAGCAGTGGTCAGTTTTTAGAGAGCAGCTCTTCAGGAAAAACATTGATGTATAAATTGTGCCATCCTGCTACTTAGACCTGCTCGTCCAAAAGAAAGTCACAGAGGGCTTCTTTAAGCACAGCAGTTTTCACTCTCTTACTCATTATGCTGGGCTTCTCACTTACTGCTTTTTCTTTGTATAAGTATGTGCTTCTAAGTTTTTCTTATAGTTGTTCTGAATATATGAGATCTTAATTATTTACTTTATATTAAATCCTGAATGGTACGGCAGAGATATAGCAGAGAAATCGATCAGATATTAATCTGATCAGTCTTTAATAAAGAAGCAAAGTTGCCAGTGAAAGTGAGGTACTTGTGAATCTTCTATTCATGGCACAGTAAAAAAGCATGCAGCAAACCATACTGTGAAAAACTACTGCAAAGCAGCTAAAAGACACTGCTAATTAACTAATTAATTACAATTAAGCTGCATTTTCATTTATATTATAAAAGAAGGTAAGCCAAAGGCAAACATCAAAGCAGCAGAAATTTCCTGCTTTCAGCAGAAGCTCTGAATAAGCAGAATGACTGCTGTCCTTTTCAGCCTCCATAAGCATTTTCAGCTATGCCAATCACCACAATATTTGCAAATCTGTTTTCTACTGCACTTAGCACAAGACCTACTTCGCTTTAGGGCTCTGCCTGCTGAACTTTACGTCCCTTTCATATAAATGCTAAAGCAGCATAAAAAGGCAGCACGCTATTTCTTACACCAGCATCGCGTTCTGAACGTATTTGATTGGCCCAGTGATTTAAGCCAAAGCAGCGTCCTGTGGATTCCAACAGAATTTGAATCGATTCTGAAATTATGAACAAAAAGAAGTTAATCAAATGTCTGGACAAAGAGATTCATGTGAATGTCTGCCTTCACGATCTGTACATCAGAATGATTCACTTTAGCTGCTCCCTTCTGGGTCTGAACAGCACATAAGACTTTCTCAGAATCGCAGCGTATTTTCCACAGCAGCCAAAACACAGAGCTCACGTACATCAGGATGGAGTGGGCAGCTCCAGCAACCTCCTACAAACACTGCTGTAGTGCTGGTATGCACCCTGTATCTGTGGGCCATGTAACAACAACCATTTATCAATCATTACTAAGAAACTGGCTCTGTGACAAACTAATTACTCCTCAGGCTTCCACCCATTAGCACAGAAGGAAGCAGACACTCAAGGTGCATTTATAATCAAGGCTTTATACAGCTCTGCAGTAACAATTAACAAAATCTGCTGCAGAGGTTGTGCCTTGGAAGGTTTCTTAAAATGTATACTTACACCTAAATCTGCTCAAAGGACAAATCACTGTTAACTCCTTCATGGTATGTGAATCACTACAATTAGTAAGCAGTAGCCCCTATTTGATGTCATTTATTGGGCTGTCCTCCCAGGGACGTGTAAAAACCTTAACCAGTGCTTCTCAAAATCCTGTGGGCTGGACAGAACACGGGCTAGCAGGTGTCACAGGTAGTACCCTCACCATAAGTATATCACTGATGTTTCTGCAATGAGAGAATCCATATGGAGAACCCTGGGTTACTGAGCCCCAAGACTCCTTTGCACACTTGGTGGGAAGCAACTCCCACCTGCACACCTGTGAAGGCAAACTGAGCACTGCCACGTCTCCAGTGCCCAGCAAACGTCCTACAGCAGTCAGCCATCAGGGTCAGCGCTGCCTTCATGGAGTCTGATGGATTGTTCCATACATGTAGTGCTGCAGGGAGCCCTGTAAGTGATTAACACTATCAATCAACTGAAAATGTTGATGAACAGCAGGCAAACCCCCCAGTGCTGGTGTAGTGGAGAGGGGAGCTGCAGCAGACAAGCAATAGGTGGACAAATCCAAACCTTCTGTGCCAATGAGATGCCTTGATTAATTTCAAGCTCCTTGTAAATGAAATTCCTACTCCAGATCTTCATAAGAACAGTCATCCTAACATCAGCATTAATATTATACTAGCCCTCCTAAAACCTTCAGTTAAAATACTGTATTCAGCAATTACAAGTGGAGTACAACTAAATCAGTACATGTGCCAGTTCATCTCAAGGAGGCAGCTGGAAAATGGCATTTCCTTCACCGAGCAAAAGAAATCAAAAGCCACAGGAGTGTCAGGAACAAGAGGTCTCAGACTTTAGCTGACAATTATCAGGAAGGTATCTGTTTATCGTCAACGGATGTGACAAATCTTGAAGCCATTTCAGCCATAGTAGAGCTCTGCTAAGGGGCAGACTGTTCTCTTCAAACTCCAGACTCAAACCGGTCTCATACTTACTGTTATCTTGAAAAGAGCTATGTCAATATTTCTGCATTTACGAGAAACCTGAGTGTTTCACAAGAGATTCCTCCGCAGCCAACACGATGCCTTGTTGATCAGACACGGTGTTGGCTTTCACATGTGCCTCTAGTTGGAAATGGCATGATGTTAGAGCTTCCAGGAAAACTACCATCTGTGCTTCCTGCCATTCAGGCAGGAGAATGCCTGCAGAGAATGCTTCCATGCTGCCAGCTCTGAGCAGCATTTCCCATCACAAGCCCTGAGCATGGGAGAAGCCAGCAACAAAGGTTAAGATAAGGGCTCACTCACAGCCATCCCAGCAGGATCCCAGCCTCTCACACTGCCCTGCAGCAAGCTCAGCCCACAAAGAATAGGGATAGTTCACCCTAATTTTGATAGGCAAGGACTGGTCTTCTTTAACAGGGTGATGCTGATTTAAATCATAACACTCGGCTCATAGGCACTGCTTGCTCCTGCAATCCTGAGTAATGCTGGAGATTCAGAGATTCAACCTTGTGCAAACCTGTGATCTAAGTGAAGATATTTAGCATAAAGATGCTTTGTAATTTTCTCTTTCCTCAAGTTAGTATTTATATATATATGTCTCCATGATCTGATCTTTACACACACACAAAAAAAGAACATCTGTGTTTCAAATGCTGGTAGCCACTATCTGAGCTGATCCATGTCATGCACTGTGCTGGGCAGGTTGGCCTTCCTGTCTTCCTGTACAAGCAGAAAGAGACCCCACCTCATGCCACAAGACACTCAGTGTGCATTAGGAGATGCACTTTGCTCTGTGGCAAAGCCCTCCCCATCACACACAGATGGTACAGACAAGGGAAGGTGAGATTTGCAGGCAGATGCTCTGTTGGAATTCAGAGATAAAGGAAAGTCAGGAAGAGGTGGAGCATGAGAGCAGTCAGATTCACTCATCTGATATTTGGGCACTAAGATAAGGGACAGCCAGCAAGTGACAGAGTTAACCCCTGCGGAGCCCTGGGCAGCAGCTGCTGAGCATGCAGAGCACTGCTGGCAGTGCAGCTCTTGCTGGGGCCGGGTTCTTAACTGCATGAAGGCAGATGTGCCTGGCAGACAGCAGCTGTGTCTGCACACAGGGCTCCTCCTGTACAATCTGCAGTGCCCTTAGTGCAGGGCTACCTCTCCCTCACAAGCTTTACTTTGCCATTAGCTAAAAATAAATTTTCCTTTTTCTTCCAAAGGAGCACCTGAACTCACCTGATGCATACTGATCTGTGAGGGCAATCTGCAGACAGCTTAGCTCTGATGTGCCCTTAAGTGAACTCAGGTTCCCAAGGAAAGAGATTAACAATCTAAACAAAGTGTGCTAATGGGACTTTGTTAATATTTTGCATTTGGAGGGCACTACATGTATTTATACAGTAGTAATAGAATAATGTAAAGAAAACATTGAAAGGGAAGTGAAAAACTGCATTTACGGTTGGTAGGTTGCTACCAGGCAGCAGAAGTGGGCTCTGAATTATGCTGGAGCTGCAATGCAATGATTTACCACAATGATGCTGTCTATGGAATAAAGGAACAAACAGATTACAGTGGTCGCAAACCATCTGCAGAACAGCAAAAGACTTCACAAGAGCGGGGCCCATGGGAAGGAGCTGAATTGTGAAGTGTTCTCAGGCAGATGTTTGTTTAGAATTTGTGAAAAAGCAGTGAGATGGGCGAGCAATCTCAAAGGATGACCGACGCACAGTGAGAAGAGTGACTTCAGAAGCCTGAGCAACTGTGTGCTCACTCCACATGTGACGGAAATACACCCATCCTTTCTGAGAATTCCGTTCTCGTTGCTGGCTTGACATGCCTAAGAATGCATCGAAGGCAGCCCAGGAAGTCCCATAGGAATGAGAGAAGAAAGAAATGACGAGTATCATCTGAAGAACCTCGTGCTCCCTCTGCCAGGACCGGAACGGAAAGCGGTACTGCAAGAGGAAGAAAACCACCCCACCCCCACTGATCTGCTCCTGCTCTTTTGTTTGTATGCTTTAAGCATCCCAGGCAGGATGTCAGATTTAATGCTACTTTATGCATCAGTTATTACTGTAATCCACTCATGGCTTCCTTCACGTTGTACTGCATGGGATCAACTACATTATAAAATGAAACTGATATCAATTATAAGCATACCACCCGTCAAACTGGTCAATGATTGCACCACGAAGACGCAAATGATGGGGTTGGCAGAGGCCTGTTTTTCTCAGCCCAGCACCCAGTATCAAGCAGGATTTTCTTCTACACTAATGTTTAAAGCATTTTATCTGAGCCATATCATTATATTCCAAACAATAGCAGCTCAGCAGCCACACAAAAAAAGAATATTCGGTTCCTTACTTGCCTGCACTGCAGCATTTTTCCCCTCTCATCTAACCTGGACAATCTAGCTTTACTTTTCTGTACAGCCAGCCAACGACTCCTCT